AAAAGTCGCCAGTGGAGACGTAGTCGGCAGTGGTGGGATAATTTACTTCTGTGTTTCCGGTTGGTTCATTGCTGCTCTGTGTGGTCAGGTACTCTACGGGTGTGGGATAGTCTCCTGTGGTTGGTTGATAGTTGCCCTGTGTAGTGAGGAAATCTGCGGACCTGGGATATTTTTGTGTGGTGAGATACTGTGAGGAAGACTCGACTGTGGTTGGTTGATAGTCTCCTGTGGTCAATTGATAGTTGCCCTGTGTAGTGAGATACTCTGCAGACCTAGGATATTTTTGTGTGGTGAGATACTGTGAGGAAGAGTCGACTGTGGTTGGTTGATAGTCTTCTGTGGTCAATTGATAGTTGCCCTGTGTAGTGAGATACTCTGCGGACCTGGGATATTTTTGTGTGGTGAGATACTGTGAGGAAGAGTCGACTGTGGTTGGTTGATAGTCTCCTGTGGTCAATTGATAGTTGCCCTGTGTAGTGAGATACTCTGCGGACCTAGGATATTTTTGTGTGGTGAGATACTGTGAGGAAGAGTCGCCTGTGGTCAGTTGGTAGTTGCCTGAGGTGGTCAGGTAGTCTGGATAGTTCTGGGTTCCTGACACACTTCGTCCTGGAAAAAAGAAAAAAAGGGAAAACTGTTGATAAAACATAAGATGTTCTTTCTGTTGTACAGTGTAGATTTGATTGAACATACACTGCTTTTCCTGAATTCTTTTCTGTTGTCTTCATAATATGTGAAGTTTTATTTTTAATCGTCTCTCTTTGTTCCATAAAACATGCGTTTATCTGTCTAGTTTTTCGAATACAGTTTAGTCTGATGCATTTAAGATACCCCCCCCCCTTTGCACGCACTTACATACACAAGCACATTCTCACACAACGGCACACCTACCTACCTACCTACCTACTTACCTACCTACCTACTTACCTACCTACCTACTTACCTACCTACCTACTTACCTACCTACCTACCTACCTACCTACCCAACCTTCCTATGATAGGCCTCTACACGATTCTTTTTTTTTAAATTTTGTTTTGGTCGTTTAGAGAATATTTTCTGTCGGAAATTACAATTTGCCCACCGTCGAAGTGTCGAAGTTTTGGGGTTTGTTTGTTTCAATTTTTTCATCAAATAAACAAGTACAAAACTAAACGACAAAATTCCCTAGAGATCCGTTCCCATTTTCCTTTAATTCACCTAAAGTCTTTTTTATATTTCACATCTTTAACTTTTGATACATAGTTATTTTCTTGTGGTATTTCTCCCTGATTCTTGATACAAATTTCTTTTCATAAATGTCTTCTTCTTTTATTTGACAATTGACGTCAATGCAGACTTTCGCTATACATTGTTTTCTGTGGCACATACACAAGTTCACATCACGAACATACACACACTGTTAAGTTGTTGGGCTACGGGACCTGTGGCTGGGCCCGACGTTGTTTCCTTGGGAAAGGCACTTCTATACGAATGTTCTATTTGGCTTGATCCTTTCGTAGATGGACCTTCAACTTGGAAGGAAGTCCCGCCACTTAAATAACCAAATAGTGTTGACATGGGCGTAAAACTTGTATTATTTCTCCATTTCACGATAAACGTACACACACATGGCATATATGTACTTACCCGAAGCGCCGGCAAAGAGACAGCAGACGACGAAGATGCTAAAGAACATGGCGGCCGTTGTTCTAGTACTACAAAGTGGAAGAAAGTGATCTCTGCAGCTGCTACTGATCAGTCTTTGACTACTGAAGCCTTTTATTGGAAAATGAATGTTTTTTGTTGTTGATATCTAAAACCGCAAACAATACACAAGTGCATGGAAGTGTATACAGTTTGATGTGAGATTGTTTATTTTCTAAATCGAAAATGACATGTTGTTTTGGAAGTCGTTAAACAAACTCTTTGAGTTCGTGTCACGATCTGCCTTAACTTAATGTAAAGAACTACAGACTTGTTTGCGATGTATGTATGGCAGTGCAATTTGTTTACCAGATAACGAAACTATATTTACAGTTACAGGTTGGAGAGAGGGGAATGGGGAGGGGGTTAAGGTGGGAGCTACTGCGGGCGGTCTGAGGAGGGAGAGTGTGTGTGGGCGCAGGCAGGTAGGTATGTTGGTCGGTCGGTAGGTATGTTGGTCGGTCGGTCGGTAGGTAGGTAGGTATGTAGGTAAATAATGAGATGCAATGATAGATCGTGAGATGAAATATAATATAAATTATGTCGAAGCATACATATATTTTGATTGATAGATAAATAATTAGAAATTAAAAATGATAATGAAAATAATAATGATGGTTGTAGTAGTTACTTAGTAGTAGTAGTGGTATAGTCCAGACAATATCAAATGGACAACTTGTCGACCTCATTACATCGAATCTAAGTGGCGAATCTCTGTGAATTTTGCTTGCGCATCTGAATTCCAAAAGATCTGAAATTTTGTTTGGTGCATGTGCGACAAATATGTATAAAGAGGTGCTGTCTATATAATCATTAGTAATTGATTGCTCATTAAACTCAACACCGCATACATTTTTTTAAAATAGCAAACACAGTGCAACGCTAAAATCATAACAATACAGGGTGTCGTTGCAGGGGCTCAGCCTGAAATTTCAGCGGAGGGGAGGGGGGAGATACAATTTGGTGAAACCCAAAACCGGTGATCAACCGAGTGCTAAATTTGAAGTATAAGCATGTCACTGGGCACCCCACCCCCCCTGCCAGCAGGTCCAAGGCA